AAATTATTACCTAGTACTTAAGTTAATTATTGTTATACTTGTTAAAAAATGATCATCGTTAAGATGAGTGTCGGGGGGTAAGCCATCAAGGTAAGTATAAATTAGAATAACTTATAGTGTTCTTTGGTATTTACTTATATGTACTAAATAATGAGTTTTGGACATTGCAGGACTATTATTAGACACTATAGTTATTAGGTATAATTAAAAATATGAGTACTTATATTATAAGTGGAGCTGCTCATTTGTAGAAAAATGCATTTTTTTATCTTTAAAATATAGCTTTCTTAGCATAAAGTAACCAACGAATTCAATTATAAATCTTTATTAATTAACAATTTGTGACGATTTTGAATTTGAAGGTCTTTTCTAGCTTTGATATAGGTCAACTTTCATTTAAGATTATTTTTTTTTTTTTTCTAACGATTCTCGTCGATTGAAACTTTTTTTACACGCATTCTATGAATCTTTTTTCAATTTTTGTAAACGAATAAAAATTTAAAATAATTAAAAGTTTAGTTTTTTCTTAACGCAACTTGAAAGATTTTTGTACGTTTTAAATTTTAAGTGTCGACGGGTTTTTCTGGACCGATGGATATTTTGTACTGCTGCAGTTTTTAAGATTCGAGCGCAGTTTGAAATGCAACTTTTAAGGTTTTCACTTCGTCCGATTCACTTCTACTGTACACAATGTACATAAATAATTATTTACTGCGATGGGCGCGCGGTCAGGTGGACTTACAGTTTTCTTGCTGTTCTTCAGCTCGCCCATCAAGTACGCTATGTACAGCGCCACACATATTATTATGTAACCGCCAAAAGTCACATCCGCGAACAGAGACCCGGCTCCGTTCCTGGTGATGTTGTTCAGCAAAGGCCATTCCCTGGACGACTTCTCGAAGAAATAAAACAGTCTGGTGGCTTCTGCGTCCGACCATCTCTTATAGAGCAGACAGCTCAGACACAAAATCTGCAACAACGACAAAAATCATGGTGATGTACAAAAGAGATGGGCCTGATATTGATGACGACAAAATATTATATTCTTCTCGTGTGAAAACCGCATACCCGTACAGGTAATCACGGCTAATCGGTGGAATTTTTGAGTTTTTTTTTCTCTTAAAGCTTTATTTTTTTTTATTACAGGCACATTGTGCTGTGCGTGTCTCACTCGTTAAACACGATCAGCATATATGTATTGGCAAGCCTGGACGTAAACGAGTTTAAAAGTTTTTCGTCTTGTTAATTTTAACTTAAGAGTATTAACTTGAATTTTTTTAATTTAATTTTCGTTACTTAATTATTTTTACCTAAACTGATTTTTACAAACTTCGTAAATAACGAGTTGCTTTTAATCAAAACATACAAGTTACGTCATTCGTTTGTAAATAACTAGACTATAAATATAATACAATTATTATTTTGAACCACATCATGTGCCTGTTTATGTACCTATTGAAAAAAAAATATATATAACTTAACGTATTAAGTTAATAAGCTAATAGTTAAAAAAAAATTAGGATAACTACTGACTTTAACTAAAACTTTTCTAAATGTTCTTTGTCAACTGAACTCAACTCGGTTAGAAGATATCATTGACTTGCCCACGCTTTGGTATTGGTACAATATTTTCGGTCGCTTTAAGTCAGACTTGTATCGTTTACTTTTCAAAGGTATACCTGTGTTATATACATATTATATGAATCACGAGTGACCCGGT